GATGTTGCGATGCCTCGTGCGTTCAAGGAATTCACTACAGTACGAGCGACGTGCGGCCTCGTGTTGCCATGATTAGCTGCACCCACTGCATGATTCGCGTCACATGGCAGTTATCGTACACAATCGAAAATTCTCTGCCGATTGAAACGGCTTACACTACGGCTAGCTCTCTGTTGGCAATTCGTCGATCTTCGCGAATAATAGCGGCAGCTGTATTATGTAGAACCTCGGTGCAAGACGTTGAAGGTCGCCCCTCGCGCGGCTTGTCGGCGATGCTCTCTACCGTTCTCGAACTTTTATACCACTTGTAGAATGTCACCTGGTTCATAACATATTTACTGTACATCTTAGGTCATATGTATCTTTTCGGTTGTTTCCGAGTTTTACCAACCATTTCACGTTACAACGTTGCTCCAACTTTTTATCCATGCTGGACATAGTAGGCGAATATTTAACGTACGTTACATGTCAGACGTTACACGTTAAGTGTCACATACGTTACTAGGTTATGTGATGGTGTTCAGTGTTGCCACCTTCCGCAACAGTATGTAAAAACGCGAAGTTCTGTGTGTGGAGAGGGAGCAGTTGCGAGGTTGGCGAGGCGCTCCCCTTTGCACCCAGGGGCCTTCGGGACCCGTACCCGCTTTCACGGACGGCGCTGGCCCGGCCTTCAACCTTTTTTTTGTTAATTTGCCGATGACGCAGACCCACTTCAATCCTCTTTTCTCTCCCCCTACACCCCACGACGCTCCTGCCCTGGTGAATACAATATTGCGTCGATGGAAAGCCCCTGACTGCGACAGACGAGATTATTACTGAAAATAAACAGGCCCACTTGTGTTGCACTCAGCAAGCAGCTGCCAGCTAGAGCCTTGCATCAACATTGCGAAGAGAGGGAGAGGGCACTATAGGAATTTTCCAGTCGGGAACATTCGAGAGCTTTACGGGGATTGGCTAAGAAAATCTTGATGCGCAATTGATTTGGTCCATTCGTAACGCGTAATTACCAGGATAGAGAGAACAAGGGACTTGAGAAGCTTGGAGGGCAGATAAGTCGGAGAGTATCGAGATACGAGTTTTGGTCGCGAAGGAAGAGGCTAGATTTGATTGCCAAGTTGAGTGGATCGCGGAGAGATCGCGTACGTGCGCAGCGCGATTGTGCTATTCGGAAGTTGTGATTTTTAACCGAACCGGAGATGGGACTTATGGGTTAAGCAGAGCCCGAAGCGAGATGTCACGTTCACGTGCGCAATTTTGTTTTCTTCTTTTTTTTTGCGATTTGATCTTAAGCTTGTTGCTGGTCGATGCTCGGGGCGCGCGTTTGCGCGACCGAGTGTTTAATGGATACGAATGGATAAGTCGGGTTGCCAGTTGCATAAGTCGCGATCAGGCATACGCTTGTTTTCATTTTGGTAGCCAGGTGTGTTGCTTTGCGTAATCATAAAGTGATTACCGTAATTCACGTAACATTGTTCCGTGAAGTGTTCAAAACCTGCCGCAATCAATTAAAGACAGATCGAGAAAGAGTGCAATAATAAATTTGTTGTGACATGTGGTGTGGGTCTAGAATCGACCGCGTACAGCTGTCTGCGCTGCATGCCCGAAGTTGCTGGGACCATCGAAGGCCACCTCGGCCTTGTATTGTCTGAGAGGCATTCCCCAATGGAAAACAGCTGGCCAGTCAATGGCTGCCCGCGTCGAGAGAACCCATCGCCTACCCAAGACACGGTGAAGTCTTTCGGCATTAAACCATGCAAACAAGGTTTAATAAACAGCTCTTCAAGTGACTTAGGGAAACAAAATATTCTTGGTGACTCCTGAATTATCAGGAAAATTTGAGAACAATTTAGGTATGACTTGGCGTGGTCGCGTTTTGCCCCTTTAACGTCTCTTAGACGTCAATTCAACGGCATAGTTATTAATTTATTTTTATACTTAAGTAATGAGCTAACAGAAATTGATAATTGTAAATTCCAGTAATGAGATTAAAAGTATGTTTAAAATTATAACATGTTTTATACGATCCATTCTACTCCTCTGAATCAAGGTATCCGGTAGAACCTGAGCTGCCGGTACGCCAGCGAATAAGAAAGCAACCTTCGCGTCACTATATGCACTCGGGCTCCCTCGAGAGTGGGTCGACATCGCACAAATCTGCTTGTTGTCCACCTGCCAATTTCGGGGGGAAGTTCTATGATCAGGAGGAGAGCGTCGCCTTATCTATATCCGCCAGGCTCATCTTGGAGGTTTTTGAGGTCGAGACCTAGGATAACGCGCACCTTAAACCCACGGTGCGGGTCGGATACCTTTGTGGTTAGGCCCCATGGACAGAACACCCTTCATGCATTTCTAGAACACCTCAGCAGCGCTCACCCCAAAATCAACTTCACCATGGATGAGGAAAATGAGGCATATTCCTTTCTTCGATGCCTTGGTGAGCAGGCGTAATGACAGCAACCTGGGGCGTGTGGTTTATAGAAATCTCGTCATAACATCTGCTACCTTCACGCTTAGTTGACCTGCTACCTTCACGCTTAGTTGACAATCCAGCGACAAAGAATGGCGTACTGAAAAGTCTAGCATTGGCATAGCGACAATTTGCGACCAGAGCAGCCTTCTCGTCGAACGCGAAGATTTTAAACAAGTATTCGCCGCTATTGGCTAGAACAGGACCATGCTCAATAGGGCCCTATAACACGTATACAATCTGCCAACATTGAAGGAACCCTAAAACACAGTTACCGAGTCCAAGACAAAAGCCACACTACCTTACATCAAGTGCGTAACTGACAGAATTGTCAAACCCCTAAGACGTTTCCGAAAGAAACTGTAAGGAACAAGTCACTATATAACGTAGAAGCTACGGCAAACTTTGTTTGGCTCCAGGACCAACTTTCATCTCTTCAAACGGTGGGACGGTGGGAGAAGTGAGCACCTTCACCATTTCAAATGCCAGAAAGTACAACTCTTTGTTGTAGCTCTACCTGCATGGGAAACCGACCATGACTTTCCTTTGGAAGAAACCGAGGTAATCGCTAGAAAGACCGGTGGTGATCCAGGCGGATCAAGGAAACCTTGGAGATTGCCAAACATCCCCCCAACATCAACGGCTACGCGGGATTGCGACGTCATGATGCTTGGCAATCAGTGTTGTGGAGAATGGAATCCCGCGAAACCGCCCCCAGGGATTGTTCTCTCTGATCCCGGACCGCGCCACACCGGGAGATGTGGCTCAGGGCATCATCTGATTTCACTGCAGTGCCTCTGATCGGGAGGTTCTGGGTTCGAATCCTGACGAAGTCAGGATTTTTAACAGTTACAGCGAATTCAGTTGCTTTCTGGAGCAGAATTCCAGCGCCCGTCTTTTCTGATAGGTGGTTTTCCGTGGTTTCTCCTATCAAACCAGGTGAATGCCGGAGCAGTACCCTAACGGACCACGGACAGCGCGCGATCTGTTCTTCGTTTTCCCTGTTCTATCCTACCTCTTATTCACACACTACCACGTACGCCTGGACACCGGTCGGGAGCTTAGAGTTTGTCCCGGCTGGGCCCCGCTGGTGGGAGATACCTTGTTGACAACACTGCTAGCCGACAGGTAGGTCAGCTCCGGATCTCACCATCGAGCAGGGGATGGTCACTGCCACCTCCGGAAGGGAAAACGCTCTACACTTACGGGACTATTAGCAGTTGATGCACCCGGAATCAATAATTGATTGAATATCGTCTCATCCGCCCCGCCCGAGCGGACTGTTCCTTAACGTCTGATTTCAGACCGCGTCATGCCATCCGATCTCTCCTCTTCCCGACGCCGCCGCCGCCTGGTCTCGCCAGATTGGCCGGCAGACCAACCAAGCAACCAAATCCTGGTCAATGGCCAGCCATACAATATAAAAGCGCCCACCATCCTGACACATTCCAGCCCTGAAGAAGGCCACGACAGGCGAAATGTCGGCACCTGGATGGCCGAGAGCCTTCATATAACCGTAACATGTTTGCAAATAGTTCTGTCAAGTGATTAGATCTTGAGTCAGTCATGGAACAGGGGCAAGTAGATTGTGGGTTCAACACCCGTGAATGGAATGATATTTTAAGTTGTGCTCTTAGTGTGCGTGTGTGTGTGCGGGGGGTATCCTATTCCCCTGTTCATCACAATACCATAATTGGTATCCTTCCATATTATCTTGACATGACAGTTTATTCTTGTGTAATCGGTTTACGAAATTGAGTAACTAGCTTCCTACATCCAGAACAAAGGAGCCACGAGCTACCATGGACAAGTATGTAATAGTATAAGACCAAGATAGATCCGACCCATGCAATGTGAGGGTGCTCTTTACTGGAAGTGTCCTCAGTTTCCCCATAGGTCACGTATAAGACTAACATATATTACCTGGGATGAGGAAGGGCAAAATCAAGTAGCTAGCTCCAGCACAAGAGGAAATGAAACAAATGAGTACAAGATAGTCTGCGCCATTTTTATACCACACTAATTGGCAATTTTTTGAGCTCCCACGCTGGACTTATAAGACACAGTATTTTGTGAGCGAAGAATCGAATGACGGCAAAACGTCTGAGAACAACATTGGCGGCCAAACCGTTCAGCCGATTTTCTCGAAAATTGATATTCTTCAATTGATCTGGCTGATGCCACGGCCCCTAGAATTTGAAACAGATTTTTTAAATGTGGAGGGGGACTTTTTATATTTTTTTAAATTTTCAGAAGAAAAGGCTCCATCGTTTTTATATTATTATTATTATTATTATTATTATTATTTGTTATTGTGAAGGACCTTTAAGAGAATGGTGCAGACCTCATGTTCGTTGAAATATTTCAAAAATGTTAGTACTTCTTATGTAATTTTGCATTTAGCACAGTTGTAAAATGTACAGTTGCAATTTTCACAGATTTTTTAATTTCATTCTGTAATAGTGATGAAATATTTTCTGTGTTTCTGGTTTGTGTATTTAATATGTCATTAAATCCTTGTGAATTCTTTCAGAACCCACAAATTAATCTCAGGCTTCTCATCAAAACAAGAGATCAAAGAAACTTGTGAAGAAGAAAAAGGAAAGAAAGAATTTATTCGTAAGTGTACACTAATATATGCATCTCTTTTTTCATTTGAGCATGATGTATGTGCCTTCAGCTTGTACATAGACAACTCCAACATTAGTTAACACTTTTTGTTCTTTAATTTAACTTTAAAAATTAATTTATTCATGTTTACATTAATGTATCACTGTTTTCCATTAAATATGAACTAACATTTTTTGTGTTTACAATATTTTTAAAAGTTATTTTTTAGATTAACAAAGCATCTTCTTTCAAAGCATTCATCTTTTTTTAACTCACTCCCACTTTCTCACTCATTCCACATTATTATTACATTGTGACATGATCTGAAATATATTGTTGAGAATGTTGTTTTTATTTTCTGCGAGATTTGCAGATTTCTTCTTTTAATTTTCTTTTGCATGTTTCATGCTTTGTTTTGTCCTATCCCATTTATGTTATTTAACCGCAGCACCTCGATCAGTGTTCTCCGCTCTCCTCTCCCAGCCTACAGACTCAGCTGAAAAGCCTTGGGCAGAAGTCAGAGTTTTATCTGAGTCAACAGATGGAACACAATGTGACCCAGAAATAGGTAAAATTTATTATGTGGTAATTTGTTCTTAGTTTTGCTCGTTTTTAGTTATTATTTTTTCATTCTTGAAAAATGTGTTCTAATGTCCTGTGTTGTGGTGTTGGTATGCTAATTTTTATGACCATTCTGAAAGAAAAATGCCAAGTACAAGCAAAGTGAAATTTAAAAGATTATTTCAAGTTTAAAGAGAAATATTTTGGTCTTTGTCAATTAATTCATTTGCACTCAAAATAATTTTATGGTCAAGTTGTGTCTTTGCTCATGTTTTCCCAAATTTCATACAAGAATTGGGCATTTGGTCTCTTCAATTAACATAAAATAATCTTGAATCAATGCAATGTCTAATTTTTGCTGCATCTTTTTACCCTAATATGTCGTAAAAATGTCAAGTCCACACTAATACTACCTGACTGTGTTATACCTGTGAATCCATGATCATTACACCAATACACTATCATTTATGTCAGTTTGAGATGTACATAGTATCATCATATGCAACGGCCTAGTTGTCTACCATTCCTTATATTTCTACCACTAAGATAACATTGCACATTGCAAGCTATGCAGTTTTTTAATATTTATTGCCTTATTTGGGTGGATATTGTTAATAAAGATAAGGTTTTGAAAACAAATATACAGCCAAAAATTAAACATGCAGCCGAAGATTGTTGATACGTAGAAGAGTGAACTGGTTCAAAAAATGCCTGAATCATGCAGACTGTGAGATTTGTTTTTCAAAACGTGAAGATTACGTACTAAAATTAAAAATGCGATAACTTTTAGTTGGTTATGTAATGATTCAGTTATTTTAACAGAAACCTGGGGAGATATCTTGTGCCGAATTTAAGTAGGAAATGTTTGTTATTTTTAGAAATGACAGAAATATTTGGCAGAGTTGGTGGAGTCTTGATTGCTATGTACTAACAATATCAGAGTATCATGTTTGACATTTGGCCTTTCACTCTATAAGTGTTTACAAATCACTGTATTTGTTGCTGGTGAGACCAATTTTGATGTTTACCTAAGTTGTATGAACTTTATAAGTTAACATTTAATTGCACAAGGATTGAGACAATTCAGTATACATTTTTTAGAATAATTACGATGAGAATGCATTACCTGACCCATTTATTGATCATGTACATAATTCTTTTGCAACACAATTGAATGTACTATCTTTTAGATCACTGAGAAACTTTGTAAATTGAATGTTCCTAGTGAAAGTGATAACAAACAATGTCCTTTACTTTTGAAAAATGTTAAACTTCTTCTTAAACCACCTATCAATACTCGGAGACTGATTAAGTTTGAGTCTACAAATTATAATTTGTCATATCTAATGGACAATCCAGTGTAAAGAGTGAGGAGTGCATGTAATCTGTTAAAGATGGTTTTATATTTAGCCAACCCTTTTGTCAGATGGAAACCGGATTTAAGGTTTACTATGTAAATTCAAATAAATAATACTGTTGCTTTTACATCACTTTTAAGTATTGAATGTTCAGAAAATTTGTATAGATATTTACTGTTGAAATCTAGTCTTAGGTCAACATCTACTGTTACTTTTTTTGTGTGTACTTGGGATGCTTGTCCTAATAATCTTAGTAGTTTATTCAGTAAGTCAATAAATAAATAAGTAAATAAATAAATAAATAAATAAATAAACAAAAACAAATTCGTATAGTGTCTCTTCATTGCTGAAGTTCCATTTTTCATTTCTGAAATTGAGGTGTATATGAATTTGTCACTGAAAATACATTCAATTTAATTACTGTTTTAAAATTGTCGTATAAAATTAGTTTTTTATTGAAGTGTTCTTTAGGAAATCAGGATTTCAGCATGTCTCTAAGAAAGGCGTTTGTGTTATTTTCATTAAAATGAAACCAATGAAAAAGTAATCTTGACTCTGCCATTATTTACACTCTTAATTTTAAAATTTATTTTTCAGTTCTGATTAATCTGAATCAGATTGTTTTGCAAGGAGATGAAAATGTTATATTGAATTTAATGTTTTTAGTTACTGGAGAAAGGGAAAAACCTGCAGCAAAAGATCCAGCGCAGTTACCTGAAACACATCCTTTGAATTTGGTTGATCTGGAAAAGAAAATCCGGGAATCGGCCACAATTGCAGTGAATTCATATCGTGAAGCAGCATGTGCAGTACGAGGTATGTTTAGTGGGCTTTTTAGCTCTATGTTCACAGTACGGTTTTTAAGAATTTGTGTTATGAAATATGACCACCAGAGTTCTGTGTTGCAAATCTCAAGACAATAGTTTATAGAAATAAATTCATAACTGAAGCATATATTTCTAATAGCATAAGCTGATCACAACATTATAAATATTACAAAGATGATAACAAAGTCGTTTCAGTTGCAATCAGTATTAACCTTCTAGTTACTAAAGGGAATACTTCTTCCCACTGTACATGAAACTTATTTAACCCTGCGGATGGAAAAATCATCTGATGTCCAGAGGTGTGACAGCTCTTTATTTTTTGCTGACTAACCTCACTCTCAGACCCCTGGCAATTCCCCCATATTGGGGCCTCAGTCTGGACAACCAAAAAGCTTGGGTTGTTAATGAAGGATCTAGAGAAGCAATGTGCTATGAGCAAGGGCCTCAGTGGCTTTTTGCTTATTTTGAGTGTTCTCTGGCTTTAGAAGCAAAAGCAAAGCTCCATGGAGTCACTGCCTGAAGTCAGCATTCTGGCAGAAGAAAAGATTTGAATGACACTAAAGTGTGGCAAAGCCTGCCAATTTACCCCATTGTTATACCTAACGGCTCTTGCTGTAGAAGGGGAAAAGCAAAGATATCAGTTAGGATATTGCGTGAAGTAAATCATACAGTACATAAGAATAGAAACTTAGTTGTTATGAGCAAGGCTGAATTTTTCTATTTGTGAGAACTGATTGAAACAAAACAGATGCTTCAAAGGAAGAAATGATATTAGTATATCAGGATTCTAAATTCAATATTGTGTCTGAGCTTGTCAAGTTCCCTAGTCTATCTATTTTACCATATAGAATGGATAAACTCTGTTGTGCTTGAACACCAAGTTTGACTTAGAAGTCTGGCAAGATATCATCATGGCCACTTTTTGCTTTTTAAGCATTTTAATTGCACATTCCACATTTTTGCATGTAACATTATTTATAATAAGCTCAGATGTAATATTGAGACTTCACAAATTTGCTTAAAATTAAGGTAAATTTTGTAATCTTTAGAAGTATTTCATTTACAGTTGTGAATGAGTTTTACTGCAATTTCATGAACTTTTAGAAAAGGTTTTTTGTGTACCTTAAATAGTGTATCATTACCCATTGTCTATCTTTCCAGGATGTCCCATGTGTTTGTGCTGAAATTTTTGAAATTTATATTTGTGACACTTGCTTAATTTGATGCTTTGAGCTTGATTGAATTATTTCAGTCATTCTCTTCCAAGTTTTTGGTTTTAAGATGCTGTAAAATGTTTGTGATCAGCATGGAATATACTGTTTAATAAATCCTCTCAACATACTTGTACATATTTGTAAACCCCTTGATGTTTTGAATTTAGTGGGCAATGTTCTGGATAGTTTCTTCAGTATGTGAAAGCAGGCCACACTACTTTTTCTGTATTCTGTCAGTTTGAGGATATTGAACAATATATTTTTGAAGGTATAGATTGTGGATGACTTACAAAACATTAGATGGTGATCTGCTGTGTCACCTCTTGGGTATCCCAAAGTGGTGTGAGGACTTTTATAGTATCTAAGATGAATGCATGGATGTAGGTGAACCGTTTCTTTGATGTCCCATACATTTTTGGGTAACTTAAGATGTTGACAAAAGTAAAGTTATTTAACTTCATAGCGACAACTTCTGTATTATTCTTGGATGACCAGATTTATTATGACGTGAAGCAGGACATTTCTGAAATATGTAAGAAAAAAAACTGGAGAAAACAGGACATGAGCTTACAAAGAAAATGTGCTTCATACGTGACTGCACTGCTTCGCTGGAACAAGTACAAATTACTTTTTATTTGTAAAAATACACATTTTAATAAACAACTTATGAACAACCAGCTGAACATGAACTAGTGGCTTCTTATTCAGGAACAGCACAATGAACTTGTGTACAATAAACAAAATGTATGATCAGGTGGTTTGATACCTTGCAAGAGTTTGGAATTACTTAATAACAGGTTGTAAAATTCCTTACAGCTCAGGTCTTGAAAACGAGTTTTTAAAATTACAATTGCTTAAATAGTTTTGGTTGCGAAACTTTTTTTTTTTTCATCAATCCAAAGGGAGTTCACAACTGAAAATACTCTTTCCATCTCAGCATTTATGCCTGGTACAGTCAGAGCAATACACACAACCACCTCTATGTTTTTACATGGATTGCCTCTACTTACGTGGATGACATACAATATTTTTTATCAATTCTTACATTGCCTTATTCCCATTCCTAAATTTTTCTGGATAAAAATTTGTTGAAATATATTAGCTAGCAAAGTTGTGAAAACCGAAGTGTGTGCAGGGAGAGTGAGATTATAGCCTAGAATGAAAAAACTCTTGGACATTTTGCATCCCATTAATATATTGACAGAACAACAGGACACGTAGTGAAAAAAAAAGGGACAATTCCATTACAAACGAGATGTCTGGTCACCCTATATTATTCTGTTTGTTATTTTTATAATAAAACATTAACAACTGGTGGTGCTTCGACAGCAAATACTTTCTTGTGTTATTGATAACAGTTGTGTATTATTATTATTATTATTATTATTATTATTATTATTATTATTATTATTATTATTATTATTAACTTGATTGGCCACATTGGACCACTTGAGTCGTTCCACTTCACTTTTACTGTTCATGGTCAACTGTTGAAGGTTTTCACCTTGAGGTGAGGATAAATGCTCGAGTTACAATTCTGAATGTTATTCAGAAAGGTGATAATGAGAGATGGAGGATGATGGATGATATGGGGTGAAAGGACGAACACAATACAACCATGCCCGAGGCGGGACTCGAACCCGCGATCTTTCGGTACGAGATCGCTACGTCACTACTGCCTTAGTGATCTCGGCCACCGGATCGGCTAACAGTTGTGTATATTATTCTGCTACACATTCTATCCTGTGAACACCTCAGACATCACATGTAAAATCCAAATGTCGAAAATCCAATTCATAATTATTTTACAAAAAAGTAATTGAAAGCTACTAATATTTTGAAAAGAGTTAACATAAAAGTAATGCAAGATTTAATATTGAAAAATAAATCACTAGAAAGAAAAATCTTATTTTCAATATGAGTGTGTAGGGTGGGTTCAAACCATATTTCCAAAACTGTTGCTATGAAATAACATAAAGATTGGAGCTCACAGTAGTTGGTTATATTCTCTTTTATGTTATATTCTAGTATCATGGGAATAGATTTTTTTTTTTAAGATTAGAAGATTACAATGTTCAAATGATCTTGAAAGTGTTACGCTGTGCAAAATAAAAATTTTCCTGGAGAAGCAAGAGTACACTCCAAAGGCAATGAGTTTGACTTAAAAAAAGTTCTTAATTGAAGTGAGGTTAGGATCTTACTAAAACTGTCACTTGAATGCCAAGGAGCAAGAGGGTTGAGTTCTTTCTTATAACCAATCTGCAAATTCTAAACGTTGTTGTGGTAAACCTTTATTTTCACTGACTTGAAGTATGAAGAATTGTACATAGAATGAAATACTTTTGTTTATCTAATTCAAACTGTAATTTATCTAATTCATGAGTGACACATTCTTTAGAACATGTCTAAAAATTATAGGCATTGAAACAATGTTAATGTATTGTGTGTTACAGAAACTGGTTTGGATATACTTACTTTAGTTGAACAATCTGTTCAGCAAACTGATGAGAAAGGACTGCAAAATATTAAAGCAAAATATGAGAGGAAAGAAGTGCTGGTAAAACAAGCTGAAAATAAGGCACAAACTGCCATGTAAGTACAACTTGAAAACATTGCTTCTTTCATTCATCCACTTTTTATCCAGTCCAGTTCAACTCAATCTCAAGTGATTCAATCCAATCTCAGCTAGACCAATATCCCCCAATCCATCTTCATATCATTGAGTTTGATTCCAAAGAGCCATGTCGAAAACTGTCCCCACTCTTCATTCCCACCCCCACTCCCATCCTATGTGCTGCAATTTCAGTTTCCAAAGAACTTAAGTGTTCTTTGTCAGGTCTGTGTCAGCTTAGCTCAACATTGCCTGCTGAAAATATTTCGAAATTGAATATCTGATTTGGAAATTTAAATCCAAATACAGGGTAAATGTATGTTACATGCCTGTGAAGACTATGAATGTATACACTTATAGAAAGATTTACAGAATAAACATCAAGCTAGAAATTGGATATTAGAATTAAAAATAAAAGGGGTCTTCTTTACCAACATTTTTATTCACAAGATAAGCAGCTTGCAATGGATTAGATATCATTTTCAGATGTGCCTTTTGAGAGACAGAGCTACTCTTTTAGGGCTGGTGATATCAATCTCGCTAATTGTGTTAATCTTGTTAACATTGAACTCACAATATAATCATTTCTATCTGTACATTGGCTTTGCCACAGAAAATATGAAATCAATTAAGTTGAAAGTTTTAATGCAAATATGAAGAGATTTATATTAGCTGCAGAGCACTCTGAGGCAAAAACTTTTTCATAGTATATTCTTTGCAACAGAGGTTAGAATAAATATATTCTAACCTCCTTGATCCTCTTGTAATGTAATCAACAAATGAATAAATTTTGTTAAACAATTGATCAGTGTAAAACTTGTGGAAAATTATAGTGATTGCATATATAAAAATAATGTAAAAAGTTTAATATGAATATTTGAAAGAAAAGTAAAACTATTCCATTTTAATTTCTATAAACTGATGTAAACATGTTTCCAATAAAATGTTTATTTCTAAGATAAATATTATTTTGAGTGGAAAACTAATATTTCATTTTCTTCATGACCTTCTTTCCACTGAAATGTTAATATTGTGTTTAGATAGCCTCAAATGCCTTCATAATCATAGCAAGTGTTATTTCTTAAAACTTTTTTATCAGGATCAAGGAAACACAAAACATGGATTCTGACAACACTACTTGTTTGAGAAAGAACTTTTCTCATGAAAAGAGCAAGAAACCCGTCCATTTTTGTATCAATTTTTTTTCTGTCAAAAATTCTATTTTTTCTTACAGCAGTACAATAGTTATTTTTACTCTGTAGATATACTACTTTCATCTCTATATATAATGTTTGAGTAATGCCAGAGCAGGACCCTAACAAATGGGCTATGAGTCATGTGTAATCTCTCCTTCCCCATCCTTGTCCATTCCTCTCCTCTTTCATACACCATCCATGCACTACATTTTGGGAGACTAGTTGGGATTTTAGAACTTGTCAGTGCCCTGATTATGGAGTAAGGGGAAAGCTGACATGTGTGTTGAACAAAATAATCAATTACTCATAATCTATATTGTTACACGTACAAGGAAGTAAAAAATACGTAAATTAGATTTCCTCAAAAACAGCTCCAATTTTTACTTTCTCTATTACCACATACTTTGTGTTTAGAAAAGAGAAAGTATTGTAATGTTGCAATAAGTAGTCATTTTTTGATGAGAAAACTCCTATTGTGGATAGATCTTATTGAAAAATCTTGTTCTGATGTAGTAAATAACCTTCTGTAGTGTTGTAGTTGCTTGCTTTATGGTTACTTAAAAATTACCTGAACATACTACTAGTAAACATTACTTTCCTGTAAGAAATATTTGAAAAAGATACGGAATTTCAAAATAGAAAATTCAAATTGTAGAATGTAATATTGTTTTATTACAATGTTAAATGTCATACAGTTATCATTGAATAACATTATTGGTTTCAGAGATAATGTGACCAGACTAAAAGAAATTGTTGAAACAAAACCTCTTGATGCTCCAGAAAATATGAAAGCATCTGCATTGCGAAATGTTGAAAGAGTAATGGAAGAGATTTCAACTGCCAAAGACGATCTGGAAAAGGAGAAGAAAAATGCTTCTATGGCAGAGAAATACTGGAAAAAAGTTGAAGCAGCAAGGAAGCATTATATTGTAAGAAAGCCAATACAATCCATCGTAGATGCTTTACATCCCAGCATTATAACTTTCAATGAGAACTTGCTTTAGAATAATTTTGCTTAAAATTAATGAAATTTGATGAAAATTAATTATCAGTTTGAGAAATTAAATTTATTTGTGGAAAATACATTTTTATAACGTTCAGTGCCAACAACATGGCTATGCATCCAACCCAAACGCTCTACAGTGGCCAACGACTTCGTCCCATGTTCTTTGAATTTTATTTTTCTATTAGCACTTATGATGGCGATAATTGAGATGCATTATTATATTTGACATTCTAGCAGTTTAATGATAATTTTGGTGCTTTGGTTTCAGAATTGGATCTTTTATGTTTATTTTCAGGTTATTTTACTTGTATTTTGGCATTCATGACTTGTTTTGTTGTTGCAATTAGTGATTTTTTTTTACATTTCAAAGTATTTAATAAATAAAAAAAATTACGACTTACTATTGTAATTAGTGAAGTAATGTTTAATACATTTTTTATTGTAAATATATTCAAAATAAGGAAATTTAAAACCAAAACCAATTTTAATGAAATAAAGCAGTATGTTCGGTGAAAATTTGGAGTTAAGAAGGAACGTTTTATCTGTGCAATGTTTTTTGAACAATGGCTTGGAGAAATGCAGGAAAAGTGGAATTAGGAATAATATTGTATTCTAGAGGTTTTCAAACAATGTCAACCACTGGAAAATTATATTAAAATATTCTGCTGTTGTGGACAGGCTGCTCAGGGTAGGCAATGGCATGACACCACAGCAATCAAAAGCTGTACTGAGGGGTCATTTTTGTTTCCATTTTCAAACTCTCATGGCTTCACAACTTTCGCAATCATTTTGCATTTGCTGTTATTATCTGCCCTTCTAACTTTCTGAGGAGTTTGAAGTTTCTTCTGTAAAGGACGTGGACGTGTTTCCTTAGATTTTTTTCTGAGAAAAAACGCTTTCAGTTCTCATCAGCAACTGCAAAAAAGAGCATGTGTTAGGAATGTTTTCATTGGTGCTCACTACAAGCTTTTACCTTCAACCATTTATTGTACGGGGGGGACTTTACCCATTACATGGGTAACAAATTACCCATTTGGCCATTGATACAACTTGATGTCTGAAATGGAAAGGAATGAGAACTGAGCTCAAAACAGTCGCAGACATTCCCACACTGGCACTAAATGTTAATATAAATTCTTTAGAATTTGGAAGAAATTCATCTATCTGATTAGTTTTATCAAAATACATAAACACCAGAAATTAAAAAAAAAGCGTGTGTGATTTGATAGAACATTTGGGGCGTTTTTAAGACAATCATTCCTCATTCTATCTGTTATTCAGGTAGTTAGGGCCAAGGGCGACTGCAGCCATTTTTCAAATGTAACATAGTATATCACAGTATTTGAGATGCATTATAGATTAAACATATCATAAACTTTCTTTTTTTTCATTTGATTTACATTTTATGAATTTTTATGACTTCATTTTTCTGTGTTTTCTATTCAGGATGAACTTCTCATTCTCTTCCCGGATGTGAGACTCAGCGACAAAGACTGGCGAATCAACAAACAAGACCTGGATTTATTTATTTATTACTGCTTTCAAAATGTTCTCTACTATCAGAAAGAATTAGCAAAGATTGAGGTATGTTAGAATTGTATTGTCACCTGCAATGGTAATGTCTGATTATAAATAAAGTAACTTAAGTTACCAACTTTTAAAAAGGAATAATTTGGTTTTAGAAAATATTTTTTATGCAAACAGTTCACTATTGTTCATTCTTTAAGTTGTGGACACTTTCTCTTTCTTATGTTAACAAAGTATTCAAAACTTCTTATCCGAATTTTTCTCAAAAACTTAGCCTTTGGTTTTCTGCAAATGTGTGTGTTTCTACAAACATGTAGTAATTTGTCCAAATTATCTTAAGAGCATAAGGATGACACTACTGAACACAACTCTGTTCTGGTTCTCTCTGAATAAGGTATCCAAAATTGCTTCTGAATGCCTCAAAATTAACTATAGTAAATGTTTTCAATGCTGAAATAACAACAAAATTGGTGCTTTGTCAGAAGAAACTTTCTTGCCTCTTCCAACATTTCTCAGATAGTACAGAGAAAATTCAATACTATGTATAAACGCATATTTTTTTCAAAATTGCTACCTGAAAATTGGGTTGCGGGTAATATTTGAATCAATGTTGGTACTGCATACTTGCTGTTTCTGATTGAATTATGCTTATCAGCTATTTTTTTTTCTACTATGGGTTTTAGGTCAATATCAGTCTTGATGCTTCAGATATAAAAGTATGCCTAATATAGAAATAAAAGAACCTAATATAGAAAGGAGTTTCAGATATTGATTTGTTATTTTATATTCAGAAAACTTGATTACAACTAGTGTAGTGATGTATATTACATAACAGAAGTTCAGAAGAACTTAGATCCTTTGAGAATTTGGCAGTTCTACTTTTATAATTTTTGTAAATACTTGAACATGAACAATATCGCAGTTAATATTTTCTACAACTCCAGAGTATTTGTCTTAAGCGATTTGCATTTGTTGTTAAGAATTTGTCTAATTATTTTTTATTTTGTTACATATTTCAGACCCTTCAAGCTGAAAAACTCAATTCAGCGCTTAGAGGTAGTGGAGAGAAAGTTGATAAAGAACTGCTTGATGCAACTGTTACTGATGCGTTGGAGAGACAGCAGAGAGAATTAGAATTACAATTTCAGAAAAGGGTAAGCGTTTTCACATTCTAATTTTTTTATGAGAGGGAAGAATTTCAAAGGAAATTGTTTTCTTCGGTAGTCTGTTGTAAGCGAATTGTCATGTATTCATGATGAGCTGGCCCCTGATTAATCAGTCACTATTTTTAATCAAACCAGTCATCTATTTGGCTAAAATTTGAAAAAACAGAAAAAAACAAGATATAACCAAAATTTACATCATAGCATGTAGAAGGAAATGTGTGATTACAAATAAATCTTGTATTTGGATATTATGTTTCAAATTCACCTTTTGGAAATTGCTAATTGCCTGAAATTTCAATGTTGATCTAGAATTTTAACTTACTTTACCAAAATATAAGACGACCTCTAACTTTGAAGAAGCCTCAAAGTTTTGCGGACAAAATTTGCGTTGTTCATACCCTTTCTTCAGATGCCACATTCCCTTCTGTGAGCCACATTTTCTATCCATCCCAGGTTTATTGACGGCCTCTGTTATTTTAACTGTTCAAAACCCAGATTCACATTTGCCAGGCATGGAACAGAGATTTCGCATGACATCCATAAAGCCGCATCATATAACAAAATCTCAGCATTTATTTTCTCATTAAGTTTCAATGGATTCAATGGCATTCATTCTGAAATTCTCTCTGAATTCAGTCTGAATTACCTGACAAATTTGCAGTGGATTCTGAGAATATGAATGCGAATATAATTACTTATTGTAGATACTCGGTATGAATTACGCACAATATTTTTACCACTTTTGCAGTCTATTGTTACATCAACATTTACGAGTTTTGTGATATGGAATGGCAATGTAAAATCTTGAACCCTAAATGACTAGACTTTATGTGAGAATATAAGATGATCCCACATTTTTCGACTGAGATGTTTAGGAAAAAACCTCATAAAAATCGGGTAAATACAGTACATATTTGTGTTTTTTACTTCCTTGCATACAACTTGTGTAGTATCGAAAAAATATTGTAATATTGCATAAAAACCAGTGATTTTTCAACAGAGAAACTTGTATTATGGGGCTCTGAAACCAAAAGAGTGGATAGTGAGTGTGATCACTTTCTGAAAAGCACTAGGAAAATTGGAAAACACAGGGAATTTTAATTCCAGAAATAATACAGGGACAACACAGGAAAAAAAGTTTTTATATTAAAAAACTTGATTGTCGGTGTAGAATTTGAGCTAACAATTATTTCCAAGTGACAGAATTAATTATTTATGATAAAATTATTTTTAAGAAATTTTATTAATTATAAGAATCATTTGTAAATAATAATTTAGGACATAAACTAACAAATTACACGATACTCTATTAAACAGTGTAATATATTTGAAAATTCAGGCTTAGTATAAACTATATTGCCGCAAGCCCTCTAAACGTTATGTGTGTGAGAGGAAAAGACACAAAGCCGATGATTTTAAATTCGCTCCATTGTGTTCCTGAAATATGTTCCTGCTTAGTTCTACGCATGCACATAGTTGGGCTACAACTTGCATTTGATAATATAACCTTAAACTGCTGGTGGAGAAAAATGCCATCATAGTCGATCGATACATGGCTTGCTATGCTCGTTGGGCCATAGGTAAGTAGAAAAATGCTATTGAAGAACGAAAGTGGCAGGAAACGGATTTGGAGAAACGGTGTCAGTATAAGAGAGAGAGAGCAGAGAAACAGAAAGGCTGCAGAATTGATAGCAGTGAATAAAGAAACTAGAGGTGTTACAAATGGCACAGACGTTCTCATACTAGATTGTATTCTAATTTCTTTGGTTTGGACTAGCTACATTCTATATCCAGCTGCTATCTAAAGCGCACTAAAGTACTTTTTTATTATTATTATTATTATATATTATTTATTATTATTATTATTATTTATTTATTATTTATTTCCCCCCCCCCATTTTTCAGTTTCATAATAGAACTGAAATATTATTTTAAGAATATAATAGAAGAGTCAGACCTCTCCATTTAAGGAAAATTTCATTGACAAATTTAGAGCCATTTATAAGAAAATAGCATTTAAACATAACTGTAAATGCAAAACTTTTTTTTTCTCACAGAAATCTTTTGAATTTTCGAAAAACTCTATTGGAAATCATTTCAAGCACTTACAATGCAATAATGTATACTAATAGCTGAAAATGTGCATTTTAAAGTCATGAGAGATATTTCAAAACAATTCCATTTGTGTAATTTCTAAAAATCATAAGAATATAGGGAAATTAATTTTATAGCATCTTGCATCAACAGTGCAATTCGTAGTATCCATACAAAAAGTTTTGAGTTTTTGAGAAAATGGTGTTTGAGAATTTCTGCAAATGCCCAATTTTGAGCTCATTTTCACAAAAAAGTTCATCGTTTGGGTTTTCAAGACATTTTATAAGATATCATTCTCATGTACTCGTAAATGCAATAATGGGAAGAAATCACTGCTAATGTAAATAGTAACAAAGTGAGAGGCTAGTCATAAAAATTAAATTTAATAATTTTTGAAAAAAAACGTATAGAGAAAAATGCTGTTTATGTCATCTCCTCAAGTACATTTAACGCTATCCCTATTAAAAGTTTAAAGCAAAAATTTAGATCTGTCTTTGAGTGTTTTTTATTTGCACATTGCATGAAAACTACTAAAATATTCAAAAAATGTACCTGATCATAACAAAGAACTAATAATAGAGAACAAATTTGATTTGAAGTAAAATCTCTACCTTCAATTTTTTACTTGTAGGAAGACGCCGAAAAATATTCAAACTTTTGCAATTATAGAAAATTAGTACCTATGTGAGTAAACAGTAAAACTTTGCACCTATGTCATCTTTATTAGTGTATTTTACTCTTATTCTTAAAGGAATGTAAAGAAAAAAATTGCAGTAATTTTTAAGGAAATTTTGAGAATGTCCCAAGGGTTTCATGTAAAGTACCCCCAAACATTAATGAATATATTTCAAAATAGCAGTGCTTCGACTTGGACCAGATCAAGAGATGTATATTCAGTATGGAAAACAAAAGAAAAACAAACAAACATGTACACATAGTTAAGATGCTAGTGTTGTTCACAGACGGTCCGACAGATGCTTTGCTGTCATTCGATTTTTCGGTATCAACAGCCTACAAAACCAGGATTCTGGCTACACCTTGTGTAAGAGATTTTTTTTTCTTCTCTCTATTGTGTACGCAGTTTAGAGAATGTTGTGTATTGCTGGGTGAAAAAGTGGGTATATTTTCAACAGAAAAACTTTTATTGTAGGGCTCTGGTAATGATCAATCCAGTTGCTAAATTTAGGGGAAAAAAAATTCTCGAACATGTGGTGTAGCCATAATCCATGTTTTGTGGGTCCTTGATAATGAATAATCTATTGACTTCAAAAAGTCTGTCTGTCTGAACAACGCTAAAGGCTAAATCATTCAGTCGATTTCCTTCAAAATTGAGGTGTATGAAAAGCAGTTATAATCCATTGTCAAATTTGTGTTGATATTTGCTTGAAAGTATTTGGTTTTTACACCAAATGTTGCAAAATTGATGCAAAAATCTTATCATATTCAGGGTTTGTCACAGATGTATTTTTCCCCTGATAGCCATAGAAATTTGTCAAGTACTCTCATAATATATTCAGGCTCCATATTTTGTTAAATGAAGCCATGTACAATTTTTTGAAAATACTAGTAACTTTGCATAATTTTTCCAAATTTTAGAAATTGCAAATTTGAATTTCCGACTCTTCTTTTGCTGGATGGAGTAATGAAATATTAGAGCTACACCTGCAGATTTTATAAAGAGCATGCCAAAAATACTAGCTCTTCAGCTACTTGAATGTCAGAACCATGTAAGCAGTCTCCACGAAAAACTCAGAAGTTGAAGAAGTTAAAAATGCTTTTACAGTGTGTAATGTACAGAAAACAAGTTTTTAAAGTCTCGAGTAACTCAGACCTAGATATTAATGCATACTCTTAAAAATGTTTATGTGACATCGAAAAGGAATGGTAAATGGTTGTACAATGTATGCTGTTTGTTTCTCACTAAGCTTTCTTCTTCCCTTTACTCAATACCGTCTCAATGTCATGTAGTTTTTTTGTGTAAATCATCTATGTTCAGATTTTGGAAATTCAGCAAGCAGTTGACAAGGAAATGAGAATTCAGTTAAAGAGGCAGGCTGAGGCGCATAGTGACCATGTGTGTGATGCTCTTGCAATGAGAGAAAAAGAATTAGAACGCAAGTTTTTGCGCCAAGAAGAAGAAAAACTTTCAGCTGAGCAGGATAAGTTCAAACATCAGTTAGCTGGTATGATTGGTCGTCTGCAAGGATTGGAATCAGCCTTAAAAGGTTTGTTCATAAATAGCATTAATTACATATGTTCATTTTGTCTCTGAACATCAATTAATGATTTGAAAACAATATTGTCAACAACAACAAAAAAAAATTATACAAAAATTTGATTTATGCTATCTTCTGAAATTAATGAATTATGAGAAAAAGTATAAGTGCAATAAATTTATTAAATTTTCAAATTAATTTTTTTTTATTTTAGTAGAGTAGTGGTACTGTGTGTGTAGTGAATTCACTTTATGTTTTGGAAATGAGTAAAAACAAATTGTATATTTTTAAGATTTTGTTCAAACAATTTGGAGAATCAGTTAAAAGATAAAGAGATTTATTAAAAATCATAAAATTTTGTATGAATTTTCAAAAAAAAGTAATGAATACCCACATTCTTGTAAAAACATACACATGCATGTTTCTTTTTCTTTCTTTTTTTCTTCTTCTTTTTGTATGGATAATTCCAAATGGTAGTGCAACTTTAGAGAACATTTCAATGATTTGATATTATGTTAAATACATTATGATCCACTTTGTTGTAGCTCGTGCTCATATTGACAAAGGTGCTCATCAAGCTCAGGTGCTATGGAGTGCCTGTCAAGCTTTACATTGTGCTTTGAAGCACTCTCAACCTGGAATGCCATGGCAAGAACAGCTGCGACCATTGCAAAATGAGATCACTGCTGTGCAGAAAGCTGCTTGTAAGTCCTAATTAGTGTAAATTTTTAACATAGGATCGAAAAACAATAAAACTTACCCACCTACCCAAATTCTCTATAATGTTTCTTCCTACACGAGTTGAGCAATTGTGTTGACAGACTGTGGTGTTAGTTCAATTCTTATTGCTTTGGACAGACTTTCCTCTCAGTATCAGCTTGCACATATTTTTCTTGTTCTGGCATACATAAAAAGTTTCAGTTAACAAGAGCCCTAAGATAAATATAGGAAAAAATTACAAAATGGCATTAAAACATAAAGTAATATATTTCGTTGTAATGGGGTAGGTATTTCTTAAAAAATTTGCTCAACAAATATTTAGAAACCAATTTTTTTTCCAGGTAATAATTTTCAAACCATACACAATGCACAAAGGTTGCTTGCCAGGATACTGCTCATTTAGGAAATTGAAGAACATCCATCAAACATCTGCCATACAATTGATCACTTTGTGTATTATGTTTGAACAGCTTGAAATCATGTTTTGTAGAGACAAAAAAGTGTAATAAATTTTTGTTTCATGTGTTAACTATATTTTCAGGCTTTTATCTTCAGGAAATAAATGAAAATAAATTACAGCAAGGGTTCTTCAAAAGAAAATTGCTAGTAATTTTATTTATATATTTTGTTAGATATTTACACATTTTTTGAAATGTTTTTTTTTTTTTATACTTTACAGTGGAAGATGATGAACTTGTAAGTGCTGTCTTGGGAGGAATACCAACTGAAGCAAAAACACGTGGTGTATTTTCGGAAACTGCACTGCGTGAGCGCTTTCTTCAAGTGGAGAGCGCAGCACGAAAAGTAGCATTGGTGCCAAGTGAAGGAGCATCGTTACCTGTCTACTTTTTGTCCTATCTTCAAAGTGCCTTGCTTATCAAGGCTGTTAATCCAATCCCACAGTCTGAACTTCTCAACGAACCAACAAGTTTTGACAAACTAGACACGTATGATGTTTTACAAAGAGCAAGGTATATAGAGGCCCCCTCATATTTTAAAACAAATAACCTGAGGGATGAGTTCAGAAATAATTTTTAAATAGGCAGACTGATTCTGATGTCAGAATGATTTTCACTACTGTAGATTATGCTGTCAAGGTTATGATTTTGTGACAGAGAAACTCAAATTGGTTGTGTCGTCAGAATCTACATATATTGAATTCTTGACAAAGAAAAATTGGTTATCAATAAAGCATTAATTGGTCTCTCTGTGAACAATGCTTGCACATAAATTGTTTGCATTTTCATGAAATTTGATATTTCTTGATGGATTGAGCTGACCCTCATTTGAAAACGAACTGGAAATTTTAATTTTGGGAAGTACTTTAAATAAGTCCCAACAACACTGAAACTTTCTTGAAAATTACTCCAATATTTTTGTTCAAATTTCTTGCTTGAAAATATCAAAGAAGGCTTGTAAAAATGGGGCAGGTCCAATTTTCATTCATTTTTCCCCCTGAAAGGTAGCAAACCATTTAAACTGACACTGACTAGATGGCTAGCTTAATGGGCTGAAATGACACTTGGGGATTTAAAGTACATAGGTTTGGTCCCCAGTCTTGCCAAATATTTTTGTGGGCCAGAAACATTTTTGCAGGTTCAACTGGTATAATATTATATAATAGTTACAAATAATATGAAAAGGTATGTGCTATTAACCTACACGACATAGCACTATGTGCATTTTCTATTCAGTTACAGTTCATGTGAAGTGAACATATTTTTTTAAAACTGAGAATTAGAAATTACTGAAACCTGGTTTGAATTCTTTTTCTTACACCACCATTGTTGCAAGAATCTACAATTTTCAAACATAAATTTTGACAAAGGAAGCAGGAATCCTGATAAATGTGGAGTGAATCTTTTAATTACATTTCATTAAATTTGTATTTGATAGGCAAATTTCTACACTATGAAGACCCTCAAATATCACATGATTATTGGTTTAACAAGTGCAGATTTCAAAAATTATCTTTGAACTCAAAATGCAAGTTATTCTCAATGTGTAATTTAAATAGTATGTCTTGAAATGATTAGGTTCTTTACAAGTGCATTATAACTTTACTTATTTACTGTTCGTAACTCTTAAGAAATAATTTTAAATATTGGATTTCTGTTCCATTTTATTTTCAGTTTATTTTTTTGATTTTGATAACATAGTTATTTTATTAACTATTTACGTTTCACTGAAACCTAATTTTGCCCATTTAGGCCATATACAGTTATTCAAGATTGAAATTATTTTAGAACTATTTTTGAGATCTTTAAATAATAATTTAGAATTATCAAGATGCTTTTGGCTGTTTGGGTAGAAATGTTCTCTTGTTGCAGGTACTGGATGGAGAGAGGGAACATTGAGCAAACTTTGCGATACATGAATCTTCTGTCTGGTGCTTCAAGATCTGTTGCACAAGATTGGATGACTGAAGCTCGCATCTTTCTAGAAACAAAGCAAGCAGCAACTGTCTTAATGACCCATGCAGCAGCTGCTGGCCTTCTCTATGTTTAATAGAGAAGTTTTGTAGAATGGAAACTAAACATTATTTTCATAACATGATGTATACCTCACATTCAAACTGCATGTACAAAGCATGCACATAGAAAGACATCTGAATTCAGAGGTGGAGAAAAAATAACTTTCAGGAAGAAGAATTTATTAATTTATTGATTATTCCAACTGCCGTTTCCTTTATGAAAAGTTTCCAATTATCTGCTCTGTCATTAGTGTCAAACAAAAGGTTAACCAATTATTCCTTTGTGCTAGTCAAGGTGTATTCCTTGAAAACAATATTGTAACCTGTGATTTTGAATTTGGAAAACTTCTGAATAATCAGCTATTTGAATGAAGAATTTATTAATGTAATATTGTAAACTATATGGTCCTTTTATCAGTCACAGGAAGTGCAATATTAAATTCAATTTTTTTATTTTTTTTTTAAATTAATTATTTCTCTGTATCATATGTCATTGTAGAAACACATGGCTAATTTAAGCAGAAATATGTTCTGCTCACACCCTTACTACTTTTTACAATGCTTTAATGTAAATAATATGTATAAATACACATTTAATGTAGTAAATTAAAATTTATTTTGTTATGGCAGTTGATATGAGAATTTGGAATAGCCTACATGTTGTACAAGATATAAATGTCATTCCTACTGAAATTTTGTAATTTTTACATCATGTTACTAAGAATATATCATTAATGTAAATATTAATTTGTCAGAATGTTCTGCAATGGTGGCAAGATACTTGGACAAGTCTCCCTCTGTCAATAGTTTGCTTTTAAATATTATATATTTGTCGTCAATTCAGTTTATTGAAAATTTTAATTACCAAAAATGCTTACCAACAAAATCAATGAATTGGAAAGAAAAATGTGCAATCAGCAGTAACATTCCTTGTTGCATTTCTTTGAAACCTTACTCATTTGGTCCATCAATGGTGTCCAGTCTACCAACCTGGTTTCCCCAACAATACAAAAATGTGAACAAATTTACCCAACACCTCTAGTAGCATTGTTTTATGTATTTCAGTACTTATAAAGGTAGACAATTTATAGTGTTCTGAAAAATGTTCTTAAAATATACTTTTAAGATTCACACATCACATCTTAAAGAAGGTATGTTTCCTTTTATAAAATATCTTTAAGCTTCAGATTATCTATAACCGCAAATAATCTCCTTCCAGATTGATTGTTAAAATTCAACACAATTCTACATTATTCTACACTATTATTCTTCCTTATGCATTGAATTGTTCTCAAACATGTGTTAACTTTGAAGTTTACACTTGAAACTGCAGCACCCACTTATGGAATACATTTTGGGTCCCAAAATTGTATTCATTTTCACACAGTGATCGCATTAGCATAAACAAAGTGTGATAAATTAGTGTAACACGAATGATTCTAATGTCTGAATTCATGAAAGGAATGAAGGAAGGATGAAAAAACACAATATATGTATATTTTTCTATTTTCCTAGGTCTTACATACTAATGAAACTATGTAAGTGAAATAGCTATATTCAAGTACAAATATAAACAAATCAGTTCAACAAGCTACAAAACAATCTAAATGAAGATTCACAGTTGCCCAGTATCTCTGTGACACCCTAATGCCCTAAGACGTACTTTAAATCCTTTCAATGATGTTGTTTATTCATTTTGTTAAATGCTCTGGAGGAAAACAGATGCTTAATGGGAAATGATTAACTGTCCTTCAAACTATTGCGAACTCAACATTATCATACATTACCCATAGATCATTTACTATTTATCTAAATATAAAGATTAAGAAACTTTCTACATCTTTAAATTCTTCATACATCTTTCATGATAACTATCAAGATGGTGATAAAACTATCACTCTTTATTTCTTCTGATACCACTTGTAAAACATGTACTTGCAATCGGATGATTCAACTGTCAATTATAGAAGTTTAATTTTTGTGACAGATGATTTGTGTTTTCATGTGATACAAAATGCCTGTACAGAGGAATATTTGTTCTGTTTAAATTACATGGTTTTGCTTGTTTTAAAATGTGTATTTGTATTTCTACCTGTTTCATGACTAGGTAGTGAGGTTAATTGAAATGTAAAATTTGGAATTCTCTAGGTGGGTTCCTGTGGTATCAAAATTGTATATAAAGCACTAAACACCTAACTCTTTGGTACTGAAGCCCTCTTCAGAGATGGATGATGTGAAAATTAAAAGCATTGGAAACTTGTCATTCTTGAAATTGAGTTCCACACCTTATAACATGCCACAGGGCTCCCCTAAAATTAAATATGAATTGGGTGGTAACCACCTAAAGAAGTTGTTGAGGCTCATTGGAAAGATTGGGTGGTAATTATATTTCTTCAAGGTCTGCCACAGTGGCCTTTTTCTAATAATGCAATAATGAACAGTGATGATGCATTGTTTTCTTAACCAAGTTAGTAAGTTGTTCAAATATCACAACTCTTCCTAAAGGGTTTTAGTGAGCAGTTGACTTTTAGAAGCAGGAAATTAATAAAACAAAAACTTAATTTTAAGAAAATAAACTATTAAATTACTGTTTTATTTATATTGAGTTGTTGGGTGCAAATTATAAGATAAAAGTTTCAAATTTTGAGAAACTAGAGAATGTGCAAGGCTGCAATTTGTTTTTAGCTCTTTGTGATGTGTCACATGAGATTCCTTAAAAAACAAAGGAAAATAAGTAATTTTTTAAATTTTCCCTTATTTTTGTTGATTTTTAGGGTATAAAAGCCTAAAAAAATTCTTAAAACTTTCTTTTATCATCCTCAGAAGCTCGAAAGAATTATTAATTTCAATTTTCATAAGCATAATGTGGTTAAAAAATGTAAACTGATACAAGAAGCTTAAAAGCACGTTTTTTTCATTAGTGCAAAGTTCTTTGGGTAAATTGATTAATTTTTTTTCCCCACTTCAAATACAATTTTCAATATACAGAATTTTCTTATCTCCAAAGGCCACTTTTATCTGTTCTATTTCGCTACCCCCTTTAGCTGTGAACAAAGTTTTGGGGATTCTTGTTCTTCAACCAAATGACATTTATTCTCCATTCCAGGTACTTTAGCATGGCCCTGAAGAAAATGCCAATGTCTTTGAGTGTACATTACAGTCCTTGGGTGTACCTCATCTCCAACTATCTTCATCCTCCAGTGAACTATGTAAGATTTTGTGGTCAAATATTTCTAAGGTATTGAATACTTTTAAACCTTCTATGTTTTTTCAGCAAGATACAAAACTATTGAGAGCCAATATTATGGTTTGGATCTTTTCTTTATCTTCATTTTACATTTCACATCCAGAAATTATGAATTGCAATTTTGTTTGAGTTTTTTTCTGAGATTTTGTCACAAATACATTTTCACAAACAAAAGTCTCACAGGCAAATCTGAAATGTCACCTCTTATGTTAGTAGTGTAGGTTTAAATAAAGTCTCTATTAATTTGTGAAACCTAACATAGTGGGAATATTAAAATGCAAATAAATGTTCAACCTTTAATTTATGATTATGGGGAAAATTGTTCCCGTCCTTTCATGTTTGCATAATTTTCCATTTTCAACTTGTATTTTTGGGGTTGGTGGAGGTCATAGCTGAGAGTAGTTCTCTTGACTTGTGCTATCAGATTGCTGACATTGAGTGTTGGAACGTGAAGCCAGTCTAACGAAGTATACATTATGGAGACTAGTTCAGAATAAATGCGACAAACTTCTAGGACAAATAGGAAGGGGCAATGCTGATCACCTTTAGCCAATGAACATTTATAAAGAAGTTACACATGAGGCAATTTTGACTAGCGCCCTTGATTCATCCTGCACATCCTAGTGTTTGGCAGGTACTCAAGATGGGTATGTCAAGAAGAGTATCTTTCGGTCCGTTGACGCTTGATCAGTTGTAACTCTGTCATCCAATGAGGAGCTTCGGGGCCCTTCACATGTGTTGAGTTGACGAACGGTAGAAATATGTCTACCATGGGTTGACACGCGATAAGTAACGCCTCTCGTAGAATAACACTATCTTATGCGAAACACACGAGCGCTTTGACCGTTGCGCACAAGATACAATGTTAATCTACGACGCACGTCAACGCAATGTCCGTGTGTCACTATTGTGACGTTCAAAATCGGGAATGGATGACGGCATCACAGCCGATCAAGTGTCAACGGACTTGAAATATTGTAAAAGAGTGGGGGAAATATTCTGGAACTCAGAAAAAAACGTATGGAGAGCGTCCGGTCATAGATAGTGCGGCGATGACCAAACCAAATAACACAAATGTTTTAAATATTTGTATTTATGAATTTTAAATATATTATTGATGAAGTGGATACTTGGTCAATAAATACACGTATCAGAATAGAAACAGAGGAGAGTCAGAAGAGAAGAAGCAAATAGCAAAGGAGTCGCTCATACTAGCGTATCGAATTTAGAGCTCGCAGCTGCTCCATGGAGGAATTTAGAATTTGGAGATTTAGCGATCTTCTGGTTATGAGCAGAGCGTGATTTTCACTCGTTTTATTACTCACCTCTCCACTAAGCGTCACCAACCTAACAAGAACAACAAAGTGCGCATTACAAAAATAATTTTCAGCGTGGCGGCCGCTCTGAACCGTCCCACTCCATGACGTCTCATGTTTTCAGGCATGAAAATATTCTGAAAATAATTGGCAGTTTGAGCAATGAGTCATAGACAAACAAAGTAGGTGCTCTGTGCAGTGAGTTTCGTCGTACAGGAAAGGCACAGTATTTCCGTCGTAACAGGGTTTAGTTTCACCACTCCGCCAACAGCAGTTTTTCCCGTCGAGATAATTGCTGATAGCTGAATTAAATTGAACCTGGGCAACCTCAAAACTCCAATATGAACAAACCGAAAAGTAAAACCAGAAAAACTATTTCTTGTCCAACGAGAGAATGAAGTAGATGTAAACAAACAGGAATATATCCCTCCGCCGAAGCGCGTGGTCTGAAACCTCTGCTGTCATCAACAGTTGTCAACGCTTCGCTATTACCGTCGTGTTCGGAGTGGCGTTGCACAAAATCCTTCTATCTATCGAATTTGCGGCATTTACCCAACAGACGATTGCAAAAGAGAACGATATTAAGGCATGCAAAGGAATAATTCACTCGACATTTTATTTGTGGTTAATAATTCACTCAACATTTATTAATGGTTATTAATAAAATATTTTACATTAATTTTTAATAGTAATGTAATATTATTGCCAATAATACTACGAAATTCATGCCCACAACCAAAATCGCGGACTGTCTCGTATAATACGATGTTTATACAAAGCTTTGAATTTTTGTTATTGCACAAAAGGCAAACATTCACGCAAAAAATATATTTAATTGACATGAAATTTAGACGTAACTTATTACTTGAAGAAAAAGGTCTCTGAATCTGACAGTGGCTGTACCTTTTCCAGGCTTGAGTCTCTAGAGGAACTTGAGCCGTTGCCAGGGATGATTATTAAAGAACCAGCAATAATAGATACAATGTGTTGTACAATTTGTACTAAAACGCACAGCAAGGGGAATGACTGAGTGTTCGCAATGTTGACGAATTGGGACGCGCGGCGAGTCGGTTGGCTCTTTCTTCGTCCATAAGCGTTACGTCATCGCGGTCTTGCCTCCCTCGCAACTAAATGCTAGCCATGGTTTGGAAAAAATAAGTGAGTTACTTCGGCGCATCGATTTTTGCTCGATCTGCGCAGCACCAAATTGCGTCATAAACCACGTGTCCACAGCACGAGCACTTCTGTTTGAAAAGCCAAACGGTGGCCGCCATGTTGCATGGAGAGCGAAAAGTGTTGAGAAACATTTTGAAAGTGGTACAAAGTAACAATTTTCAACCAAAAAACACAGATGAAGGTGTACAAGATGCATTGTTTAAAAGAAATGCTTCATAATTTTTTTCAATATCTTGTTCGATGCGCGAGGACCCC